CTATCTCGGCGAAAGACACTATATCCAGGCAGCAGCTCGCTGCTTATAATTGAGTCATTGAGCCAAGTTTCGCAAATGCAGATGATGTCATAGGACCCACTATGAACTAGTTCCTGTAACAAAGCGATCTTGCAGACTTTAGCAGAAGAATCATCATTAAATGGCACAAAAGCTTTAAGACTTCGCGCGTTCAGATAAATGGCATTGAGTTCATTACTAGTGTGTTCAGTCGAATTTCCTGGTCCTGGATTTGTAGCAACGTCTCCAGATAATAATATTAGCAGGAATAAGTGTAGATTATTCTTCTTTATTTTGAACTCCAAGCCGTAACGATATTTAGAAGACATTGCACAGACATTGCACATTGCATTGGTTAGTATAGTCACATAGTAAGGTACGACACTAACCCTCCAGCTATTCAAAACTGCACTGACGCTCAAGGGAAGCTCATATTGAACCTTCACTCTTTGAGTGTGAGTGAGCTTTTAGAATATACAGGCGTTAGTATTTTTACACAAGTCTTCTGTAGTTTTTGGGACTGAATTTATTTTATTTTCGCCTATTTCTTTATCAGTAACTTCCACAAAACGGCTAGCTCAGGCCATTTTGCAAATTCCGGTTTTGTTATATTCACATGTAGGTGACGTGTATTGTCGTTTAGGACGTGGCATGGCCAGCAAGCGCTGAAAAACTTTGGGCATTCCTACATATATTCGTAGGCTAGGACCTGGAAAGTCTGTCGCGTATTTTGACGCCCTAGCAGGAATTTCGCAACCTGGCCAAAAATATTGGGAGACAAGTTCACAAGGTCCTGTTACGAAAGAATGTTCTATGAAAGGGTATGAGCTAGTTGTGATAATTGTTTTCAATTAAGACGTAGAATTGTCAAACCAACATACTGTGCTGTACAATCCTTTTCAGGTCACCACATGCAAATAACGTAAACGGCGAAACATCATATTGAAGGGGCTTACTTCCATAAATTGCCGGACATATTAAAATTTTCCCCGGAAATACTTTATCAATTTTTGGGGGGAGTGGCTAGGGCTATAGCCCCCCCCCCCACCCCTTTTCGCCGCCTATGAACTGCATCTTTTCAAGTATAGTGATAAGCAGGGTATGTTCTACAACATAACAGAATATTGTAGTACAAAAAAACCTGATGAAATGTTTGGTTCACCTGGTCTGTCACAGTGGAGTGTTCATCAAGTTGCACGAAGTCCAGTTTTACTGGCAGTGAAACACGCACATAAATCATGCTAAATATTCTTACCATAATTACACAACAGCGACCGACAAAACGTGTTTTCCATGCGCCGCAAACATTGAACCTGGTACGACCTGTTGCTAAGCAACCGATAAGAAGACCAAATCCTGAAAATACACCCATAGCTATCCCAAAGTACATTGCGAACGTCGCTGCCATGGCCCTGGAAAATTATATGAATTGTGATAAATTGTTGATTGCAATGCGCTATATAATACTGTGGAGAAATGATTTTGGTTTATGTCATAAATGAGAATCGACGAACTCTGTGTTACAGTGATGGCATTACATGCTGCGCACCAGCAACAATTTGTCGAGGGTATAATGGTAATATTCGATATTCGCATGTTTCGTGCACGAATATATTTCTTTTTTTCTTGACCCCAATCGCAGCCCTTACCCAGCCCACCCTTTCGTTAATTGCGTCACGAATATTTCCTTGGCCTGGGAGCCTCGCTCTTTTAATACAGTATGAATCACGATTAAAGGCGATTCCCTCAATTCATAAGAATGAGGCTCCCGGGCCAAGGATTGATTGGTGACGTAATCATCGAAAGGGCTTATTGTGCTCAAAACATGAGAATATAACCGGTATATACGTATGATAATATTAACCAATGAAACTCGTAAACTTCTTGTTACCTCTCCCCCCCCCCCTCCCCCCCGAACAAATGCAAGAGTTCATCTTTTAGTTTGATCATATAGCCTATCGAAGGGAAGATGGCTGTGGGGCAGGTTGTATCATAGTTAATAGAATAGATGGTTTGGAAACTCGTTAATTAGAATAACAATATAACTCATTATCTATGTTAGTCAACGTTTATTCATAAATCTGGTCGTTCACCGTCACGTGTGTATTGTATTTTTGTCAAATTCACCAATAGCAATATCCAATTTACCCTGTTGTTCGAAACTTCGAGTCACGGATAGGTAACTTTCCTAAAACGTTGCTATTGGTTAGTTGGGCAAAAACACAATACGCACGTGACGGTGAAGGTCCAGATTTCTGAATAAACGTTGACTTAAACATAGATGAATGATTTATATTGTTGTTCTAATGAATTTCACAGCCATCTTCCCTTCGATAGGCCATGGTTTGATTGAAGCACATCCCAAGCTTGGCTGGCACAGTTTGAAGCTGAATATGTACAAAGTCCTAAGGGTACATTTAAACTTTTTCTTTTAAACGCGGTACTTTTCTTCAAAAGCACTATTGAAAAAACACAGGGGTATACCCTCCAATTCACCCAGAGGGTCTTACATCACTATCATCTATCATCTACAATAAACTTGCGTGTGTAAATATACTCTTTAATTTGCTTGAAATATTATCATTTACTTACAATGCATCCATCTTTAACCAAGTGTTAAGGTGGGTGAAAGCCTTGACCAGACCAAAGCTGAAGAGAAAGAATCCTATTCCAACAACAATACCAGCTACCAATGATGCACAGGGCACCCGGGACAGACAGATACAGTACATCTTCCAACATGAACAACAACAAGCTGTGGAGAAAATGAAATAGTAGAACAATGTTGTTTTAAAAACATGGTCAAAATTGGGCTTGTATAATTGCAGTACATTAGCAGTTAAAATGAGCTTATCGGCATGACGTCTGGGGCTGGTTAATGTAAAACGTCAAAGCAAACTCACAACAGCTTGTTTATAAACATGGAATGTTTTTACAGAACTCCTGTCCGGATCAATAGAAGTTTTACTTTGTAGAGACTATAAAAGTTGTGAAATAAATAAAATACCCAAACCAAAACAAATGTTTAAATTTTACCCATAATTTTACCCTTAACGCGCTATTCGTCTTTTGAACAACTGACTCCTGGAGAACAACGAAGTCGCGTTGGTTTGTCATGACTCATGGGTACTATCATGGATACAATGTCATGGGTATACTTGTCAAATTGTAAGAGCCTTTACATGCATGTATTGTATTGAACATTATTTTTAACAACATTTGTGTCAAAATTGCGACTACATTGGATTTCTCACTCGTATACCTCAAAACAAACAAAATTGGACATACTAATATATATACACATACAACCCCCGTGCTACATAGTGCAGTATACAATAAATTGAATAATTATTATCCTCTTGACCAATCAGCATTGGGATAAATATGATAAAATGTAAACTGTGACAATTCAATTCGGACTATTTCAAAAACAAAACGTGGAAAACTAGTGCAGTAGTGGGCACTCCACGAAGATTTATGCAATGGTTCGGAATAACACGAAAAATACTTCTATTTGAAATGATTGATACATGTTTTCACAATTAATCATCAGTGCATTTGGAACAGGTATTTTGTGCTATATCAATTATTAATCAGCAACGAACGTCGTTTATTTACTTTAATAAGCACCAGCAAGTTTTATATTATTATTTGAGTCGTATATTGCTAGTGAAATCTGCCGTTTACGTTCAGCTCTCTCATCCAGTTTTACTTGTGTAAACCACATTGTGAAATATGGTATTTCACAAGATTCTGAATACAATTTATATAAACAAGCATGCAACTTTATCTCACGAGTCGCGCCTTTTATGCCCAACACTTAGGCTAAGTTTACACTATACCGGATAGTTTTTCGTAGCGGCGTGGAAAAGCACCTATCCGATACGGAATTAATGTACAACTTTCAGAAGCTGAGCGAAACAACATCTCTCCCGGTTGAAATAAAGATACGGCCAAGGTGGGGGTTTTTCACGTCGCTACGGAAAGCTATTCGATACAGTTCCCGTAGCCATAAATGCTTTGTCATTCGACAGTCAGTGAGAAGACGTCCTTTCCTGAATGATATACATAGAGTGAAAGAAATATTAGTATCTCGAAATGTATCACAAATCAAATATCTATATTCATTCTCGTACGTTTTCTATCTTCCTTTTTCCCACAAAACCTCTCTTAGAATATTTGCTAAGTCGAGTTTTCTATAAGTTGTTTAGGAAAAAATGCATTGGTATAGCCATCGCACAATCAAAACTTATCTCACATCAAGTTCGCCGCTATTTTCAAGTCTTAATTTGCTGCACGAAATTGAAAATGAGACAATAGGAAATATAAAAATCGTTGTGACTCACTATACATATAAATTTAAAATGTTTTAAATTGTTGTTTGTTGTCTCTTTCTCGTGTCTTCGTTATTTTTATTCGTTTCAGTAACCTGACGCAATGTCTTATCTTACCTTTACACTTGCGACATTTCACAACCTGGTCTTTTGTTGCTCCAGCTTTTACCATCCCCTTCACCATGTACTTTTCACAAACACCCATTTTGTAATTGATTTATCAGTAGAGTTTGATACTGTCAATACGCTGCTTTGGGTTTTACAAAGGCTTGAAATGCAGGAGAAAAGACGCTGTTGAGATACTCCGCAATGGACTACCCGTAACCACAAAACTTAATTTCCATATCTATGTATTTGTCATTTATATTAGGATGTTTAATTCATTTAAACTCACTCATTTTATTACGCATGTGTAACACGGAAATGCTCAGACCAACACCGCGGAAAAACGTCTGCGCATGCGTCAACCTTACCTGTAATAATAAACACCGCGGAAAAACGTCTGCGCATGCACCAAATTATGAAAATATGGCGGGGAATTTGAATATCAATTTCTAAAACAAAAACATGCTTATTAATTGGTCAAAAATTAGTAAAACAAACAAGAAAATATAGCAAATGGGTAAACTAGACATTAATTGAAAGCGTCCTGGCATTTAAAGTATGGAATGAAATATAATTCATGTAAAAAAATGTTGATTTTAACGGACACGACTTCGAAAATTTTTGCAAAATTATTCAAAACAAAAATTCAAACTAAAAAGTTAAGAAAACTCTCGAAAAGTTAAGCTTCTTAACCCACTCAAATTGTAGAATAAATCCTATAGTTTAATTATTGAGAACACGAAATTTTTTTATATTTGGCGACATAGTTTTTTTTAAAGAAATGTATCTCAAACGAAAATTCGGAAATTGTCGTTGCTTAGTTGATAAACAAAATGTTCCAGACGATAAATTTGTCAACAATCACCTTTAGTTCATGTTCTTGTACAATACAATTTCTTGAACCTTCTGGCTGTATTTATTCCTAGTTTTTAGAATGACATGTTTATTTTTGCACTCGAAATCTGGCTGTAAAGACGCACAATGAGGCCACTCCTTTTTACCGCCATTTTGAGCCTTCGGAAACGTTCGGAATAGCTTCTCATCAAGTTCCCAATACTATT